AGAGAGAGAGAGAGAGGGAGAGAACAAGGCCCATGTATCAGCTATTTTTGTTTTGCAAACTAGTCAGGACTTGCACATTTTAATTTCCGTTGATGACTGATAAGTGATACACACAAACACAGTGTAAGATTTTTGAGTACTGCAGACCTATGAAAATTACATCAAGCACCTGATCGTAGATTAAAAATTTGGGGGGAGGGGGGGAAGGGGGGTGGAAGATGTAACATTAACTGTGCTCTGGTTTTCAGCTTTTAGTGAGCTCTTAATTTATTAGTTATAACTTGTTTTTGTTGGAGGGGGTTCAGAAAAGGCTGTGAGATTTTTCTAAGTGTCAGCTTAAAAATACTTACAACTATTTCTTAAATGCCAGCTTAATAAATGTATAAATAAAATTCAACATTAAGACCTCTGAACTTGGAGAGACGTGCTCAGAACAGGAAATGATAGTTTGTTAATAAAGAAAGGTAAATCATTCTCTAGACTTCCGGTGGGAAACTTGGCAGCGAAAGGATTTTGACCTCAGTGGAAGGTAACTGCCACAAATGACAAATCTAGCAACTTTCTTCATACAAGTGAGGCAAATGTTTGACACAAGGCTGGACTGCGTTCACATCTATCATTCCCTGTGGCATATTCTTCTGCTTTTAGCAAATAATCTCGCAAGCTTTTTGCACTGATGGTATCAATCTTCCCTTTTTTCCCCCCTCTCTGAGTAAAGCTATGCAAAGCTAACATTTTTTGTGAATGATTACTTATTTCTGAAGCACAAAAGCTCATCACTTACAGAATAGATCAATCTTTCAGTGCCCATTATTGCTAGTCTGGAATGAATCAATGAATTTTCCTATGTTCATTTTCCTTTTCAGATGCAGGACCAGCATATGTGACATTTGTGTAAAGGAAATTAAAATCCTGCATTACATTCAGATGAAGCAGTAAACAAAGAAGCAAAAGTACACTTAAAAGTTCTATTCTGATTTTCCAGATGGTCAGATTAGACTCACCGTAGCTATATTACTTCAAAGTCTGCAATTTAAAGCACTGATTTTCCCAACTCAAAACAGTAAATAGGGGAAAAAATGACAAGTAGCCAAGTTTAATTTCAAACGTTAATATATTTTCTATTTTATAGTGAACATATGCATCGTTCACCCCTTATTTGCAGCAACTATGATGTCCTCATAAAAAGGGGTGACACTTGTAAGATGCCTCTTAAAATAAATATTTCTTTTTATAAAATAATAAAACTTCAAATAAATATTCTTTACACTAAACAATATGTTGAAAAAATTAGAAAATAAAGGCTGAATTTTACTGTAACTGTACAATATACATGAAGTCCAAAGGGAAATCAGAGTCTTGTAATAGAAGGTTTCTGTAAGACAAAATACAATCTAAAAACATACTGATTGATTCACATTCTTCCGAATGTACAACATATTAGTATAATATTTTGTGACTGTGCCATGTTTTATGACACCACTTATTTTTCACAGTTGAAAATATTATTGTATATACAAAAATATAGCACATTATCTCTGGCAGAAAACAATGAAAAAAGAGAGTCATTTGCTAATTTACAAATTTTGCAAGTACTATTCACAAACCACGGAGTTGCCTAGGAGTGTCTGTGTTGCTTTAGCTTATGCAATATGTGGGTCACGATGTACTGCATTGCCTTTTTTATTCTGCATCCCACTAGTTGGATTCTAACAAACCTATCAATTAAGATGGCACACAGAGAAAAGTGTGTCACTGCAAACAGCTAAGTGTACCCCCAACCCTTCTACTACAGTGCCAAGACCATAGCTGCTTAGTTGGTTGCATATATGTTAAGAGAATCCTTATTACTCGATTATTTCTGATAAGTGATGCTATGTTGGCTTTTCAAAATTCCTGGGGGGGACACTGGGAACTTTGCAGCAAACCGTGTTGGAGTGTTTACAGCGGCACCCAGGCCGATTGACCCGGTCGTAACAGCCCTGACACAACTTAAGGCAACCCTTGGCTGGCAGGTAACACCACAAGCAAGGCAGGAAGAGGGACACCACACCCATGGCTGACCACCTAGTGCAGCAGTGTGACTGACTGCAAGAGCAGGGGTTGTCAGCACAGTTGTCCTCATCATCATTGGAGCAGTGATAGAAGAGGCCCTTCACGCAGCACACGCAAGTCCCGTAATCAACCACGTTCTGGGCTGAGCAAAGACACTGTTTGTCACAGATCCAACACGATGGGAGGGTCCTTGGATATGTGCACTCCTTGCACTTGCACTTCCCACAGTCCTCGCACCTGTAGCTGTGTGCTCCCAAGTCTTCTTTGCTCAGCGGCTTCAGCTCACTTGACTTGAGCTCAGACTTGGGCTGCATGCGGACTATCCCGTCAGCAACTGGCCCTGAAGATGATCCTAGAAGTCTGTGTTCAGAGGAATTACTGCTTGTACTTGTCCTTGTACTGCTCCGCGAGCCTGTGCTGACTGTGCTGATGGAGCGGGACAGAGGTGCCCGAGGAGAAGCGTGCGTTTGCGTGTGCTGAACCCGGCTAAAATGACGATGCTCAGGCAGACCATGGGGCCTCTCATTTTTAGGCTGGCTCACTGGACGAGGAGCAGACTTGACCCCTGGCCGCGGAGCCACTGTTGGTCCCTCTGTGTACTCATTCGTGTTGCGGATGGCTCTGATCTGGTCCAGGGACAGGATGTGAACTTGCTGTGTCAGGACATCCCGCAGGTTGGGCTCTCCATGCGGCCTCCCACTGTCACGCCGAGCCTGTAGCAAGGCCTGCGACCCGCTGCCGTGTTGAGCTCTCATCTCCATCGCTGCCCGGAAGCGTGCTCACCCCAGCAGGCTTAGAACACATCTGAAATCCTGGAGCAACAAAGAGAGGATTCACTAATTGCAACACATCTCATGCTTTCCAGCAGCCTGCGGGATTTCACAGCACTACACACATTCAAGTAATGCATCAGCCATTAAATAAGGATTCACAGCTTGGGGGGAGCGCAGTGCTGGTCAGCTAAGTACACTCTACTTGGCCTCCCACAACTACTCCTGGGGAGAGCTTAAAGAGACTCTGTTCTAGGTCCGTGCATTTCAACCTGTGGCTCTAGAAAGCCCAAAGATGACGACTGGCAACTAAGATGTCCCAGACCATCCTCCTGCCAGACCACGGCCTCTAATGTGACCAAGTTCCAGCCCTTTTAAGTGACTCTTCTTTTCACACGATACTACTGAAAACCTTATTTTACATTAAATAAGAAAGAGCCTGCAAGCATTTAGCAAGTGTAATGTGACCTGTTGATGACAGACATATAATTCTCCAATTTTGTTTAAAACTGGATAATATTTTGGTAGGCCAGTCTCTTTACACATTAAACTTTACATGATGTAAATAGGAAATTTTAGTTTAATACCAATGGTCCCAAGAAAAACACTAAATAGCAATAAAATGTTTGAGGTTAGACATTAAATGAGTTAGTGCTACCAAAAACTTCAGCAGCACAAGTAAAAATATCTTTCTCCAATATTTTAGTGTGTGTCATACTTGTACACCACTGCTATTGTTATTTTAAGGCTCAGTACTACAAAAGCAATGCTACCAGTTTTGTTATTTATAAAATGTGTAAAAAATTCCAGAAACTAAACCTCAAATATTACCGAGTGGCTTTTGGGAGAGAGGCGTGAATAATGACATCAGATAACATCAGCACCCAAGGAGGTTACTTGGTTGCTAACATAGCTTTAAAGGATGAATAACTACAAAGTTGAAAGGCAAACTTGAGAATTTAAATGGGAAGTCAGGAAAAGACCCAAAAGATGGGGCCTTGCACATAACTTGCTACCACGTTAAAATATGCACAAGTTTCAAGCGTTGACCTCTGAATCACTCAGTATTTGTTTTGCCTTTATCATATTTTAAAGCAGTTCCTAAATCCAATTACCTACACAAAAATCCAGAACAATATTTTACAATTAAAACCCAAGCAGGAACCAAGCTCCTTACAAGGACCACACAATGTCTTCAATTATACCTAGAGAGAGCACCATAGTGTTACTCTGTACACATCAGTTACCAACAAGAATACTATACCGCAGTATAATAAAATATAGCCAAACACTTTAACAATGAACATCTCCAGACACTGTCTTTCTTCTAACAGCAGCAGAAAGCATTTAACCTTTTAACTCCTGGTGGCCTCCCCTCAAGTGCTTTTTCCTCCCAAAAAAATCTAGGCTTTAAGAGTGACCAACTATTTTAAACATTGCCAACTCCTAGTTTTGCATGCAGAGTGTATCATGGTGCTCCCCCAAAAGTCTTGAAAGCTTATCTTGAAGCAGCATTACTTATATTTTCTTCAAATTCAAGCCTTTGCTGTACAGAAAGTTTCAGAAAGTAGGCATTCCCTCGTCTGATTAAAATAAAATAAAATAAAATAAAATAAAATAAAATAAAATACTCTCCCCATTCCCGAGAGGAACTGCTAACCCTATATCCAGGCATCCAGACGGGAGCCCACCGACCCAGAGCCAACCCGTGCAGAAGTGACAGCCCCGAGCAGAAGCCAGGCTGCCCCCAACCTGCGGAGCGCAGGGGATGAGCGCGGTGCAGGAGCCCCTCGGACGCCGGACGTCCCCCGGCGCGGCTGCATCCGGGCGCGCAGCGGGAGCGCAGCAGGTGGGACGCGGAGCCCCGAGGCTGCAGGCGGCGGCCCCGCGACTGCAGACAACCTGGAGATTAACAGGAGACATCCCCGGGCCGGGAGGTGGGAGGGGGCGGCAGCAGTCGCCTTATCAGGAAAGTCAAACCCATGTTTCCTTTTAACTCTTCCCCCCTGCCCTCCCCCGGGAGATGCTCAGGAAGCCTTTCCCTGCCGGGCAATGCGCGGCGCCCCGCAGACTCTTGGAGACAGCACCTCCGGGACAGCCGGGCAGAAGGCAGATTGCCACCCCCTTCCCCCTCCCCGCCTTGCCCTGAGCACTCATTCAGTCGCCGAAGAAACGAACTGTCCGAACTTGAGCCTCCCGCCCCTGCCCAGGAGGCACTGTCAGCCCGATCCGGGCCATGTCTCCTTATTCCCCCTGACAGACCCTAACGGGACAAGATGTAAACTTCCAGCACCTTTATGTGCAGCCGTGCCCGAAAGCTCTGAGGGAAAGCTCTCCCTCTGACCCAGCACCCTTCCAGCTCTTGGCCTTTCTGTGTGTGCATGTGGGCGATAACACCGTTCCCCACTTAAAGAAACCAAAGTCCACTCTCGCACAGCTCAAGTACCACGAGCGCTGCCTACTCCTGGATGGGATTGGCAGAAGGGCGAGCGGGGGGGCGGTTTTCGTCTTCGCACGTCTGGGGAAGTGGCAAACTCAAGGGGCTTCTGCGTGCTGCGTGTGGAAAATCCCCGCATCGCGGAGGGGGCCTCGGGCGAAGCGGTCCCTGCCCGGGAGTTACTGTGTCGTGTTCGGAGCCGCGCAGCACACGACCCCCACCGCCCCGCACACACCCCCGCCACCCTCTCTGCTTTCACAGGGCTTCGAAACCCGCATTAAGGACAGAGCATGCCATCAGACTCTGGATTAGGGCAAAAGGGACTTTACATCAGGGTGGGGCAAGCTGACAAGCTGACACACAAGTAACTTGCTGAGAACACCAGCAGATAAATAAATATATTGGAGTTGAAGGGGGGAGGGGGGCTTACACAGTAAACCCACACAAAAAGTAAAGTCTTTCTTCCCCTCCACACACGAACTCTGCAAAGTAGAACCTGGGGAAGAAGTTTCCCCGTCTCATGGATCGAATCAAGTTTCACCGCACGAGAAATACGCACGCACCCGCAGCCGCACAGATGTATTTACACACCAGCCGTGCACTCACTTCCGAATGGCACGGATCTCCCGACGCTACCACACACGGGCGTCAATCACGGCGCTCCCCCGGGCCCGGGGCACCGGCGGCCCCGCAGCGCCCTCCCTGCGCCTTCCCCGGGGCAGCACCGCCCGTGCCCGGCTCCCCGCAGCCGGGAGAACGCGGCCCCCGCCTCCCCGCAGCCCCCCGGGCACGCGTGCGCGCCCGCGCAGCCTTGCGCCCCCGCGCAGCCTTGCGCCCCCCGGAGCAGCGCGACGGGGCGCAAATATAGCGCAGACCTCAAAACCCTCCCCGGAGAGAAAGCGCTCCGAAATTCCACCTACGGCTCTTCTCTGGGAAAAGAAGGAGAGAGGAAGGGGGGAGAGAGAGAACCTGTGCGAGTGGAAAAGGGATCGGCCTCAAACATTTCCACGAGTTTTCTTGGAGCAGCGCGGGGGGGTTAGGGGGGTTACTGAAAAGCTTGTTTTGCAAAGAAGGAAAAAGCTCTCACCGTGATCGCGGCGCTGCACCAAACCCCTCTCTCTGTTGTATTTTCTTCTTCCTGTGGTTTGCAAATAAATCCAGCCCTAAAGCAAAAAAAAAAAAAAAAAAAAAATTCTTTTCCAAACTCTGCTTTCGTCCAACTTGCAAATGAGAATCAGAACGATCAGCGAGCAAAAAGTCCGGAGCAAAGTCAGTCCCTCTGCCCAGATCGACTGTAAGAACGTGTGTGCGCCTATGTGCTATAGTAATAATCAGAACACCTCTCCGGATCTGGGTGGGTTTTCTGTGCTCCTCCAAAGATCTCACTCACACACACTTTCCTTTTTCTCCCTCAATGAACAGGAGGCCGAACCGCCAGCACCGACTTTTTTTTTTTTTTTTTTTTTTTTTTTTTTTTTTTTTTTTTTTTTTTGCTGCCGTTGCAAAGGATCGAGAGGAAGGGGAAAGCCACAGAAAACGAAATCAAATGGATCTAAAATCCGATGGCAAAGCTTTCTTCCAGCGAGCTCCTCCGAGGAAGCAGCAGCAGCAGCCGGGCAGGGGGGCCGCGCTGCCGAACGCCGCTCGCCGCACGCTCCTCTCCCTCTCCCTCGGCTTTCTCGCTCCCTCTGCGAGCGTGTGTGTGTGTGTGTGTTGCAGGCGGCTCTGCGGTTTGCGAGCGGGGGGGTGTTTGGGGAGCGCAGCGGATTTGTGGTGGTAGTTGTTGTTGTGTGTTTGGAGGAGGTGGAGGAGGAGGAGGAAGATTTGAGATCTGAGCTGGAGGGGCTCGGCGTTTTTCTGCTTGCTCTCTCTCTCCCTCTCTCTCTTTTTCTTTCCGGAGGAGGTAGGGTGATCTCTCTGCAAAAGCAGCAGTAAATGGCGTCATGTGGATCTGAGGAGGAACAGAGCAGTTGTTGTCCCAGAGGATATATCGCATCCGGTCCCAGCTCATTGGCTCTGCGGGGCTACATTCACTGGCGCTCCCAGCGCCCTGCCAGCACTCTGAGCTGCGGGAGGCATTCAAAAGGGCAGTGCTGCCGCCGCTTACACCACAACTGCGGCCCCGCTCCCGGTCCCGGCCCCGCTCCCGTCGGGCCCCGGTCCGCGCGCAGCCCCGCGCCCCTCTCCGGGCCCGGCCGCAGCCTGTTCTCACAGGAGGCAGCTCCGTGCGCGGCCACACGGCGCTCGGGGCTGCTTTTGTGCTCGCGTGTTTATCCAGGGGCCGGCAGCGATCGGGCTGCAGGGCGGCCGAGGGGAGCTACTTTCCCCGGGGGGAACGGGAGACCCATTCCCAGGTGCTTCCCCTCCCCCAGCCGTGTTTTCTTTTCTCTTTTTTTTTTTCCTTTCTTTTATTTATTTATTTATTTTTAATCCCCTCTATGGAATAAAAGTTTAAACTGTCTGCTCCCTACCCCCCCAACCGGCAGCAGGAAGGGCCGCTTATTGCCCGCGGCATTGTGCCGCGGATTAACGCGAGGAGGCGGCACGGCGGCGCGGAGCGGGGCCCGCGGGGCAGCGCGGGGCGGGCGGCGGCAGGGGCACAGCGGGATCTCCTAGAGCCCCCAGAGGACTGCTTCTTAGCGTCGTTAGTTTGTAATTTCGGTCGCTTTTATGAAACTTCCGTTGTAATGGATTCTGACTCGTGTGCGGGACGCGGCCCACGGGCAGCTGACAGAAGTGGCTGTTTGTATGCGGGGTTCCTTTGGCACGGCCGCAGCCGGTCCCCTCCGCACGGGTTACAGTGCCGCCGGCCCCGGGCACCCCGCGCCGCCCGCGTGTGTCTTTAAGCGCGCACAGCGGCGTATCCACGTCGGCATGCACAGAGCGCTCGTACACCCCTATCACGTGTGGCCCTGCTTAAAATATACTCGGCGTGCCGAGCAGCGATGTGGCGCGTTATTTACATGAGCGATTCTCGGGGCGAAAGCCCTGAGAACTATTTTTAATGCTGGAGGCAGTTGGGAGCACTTCCTCTTCTCCACCTGCTATCACCGCTGCTTGAGTGAGGGGTCACTGTTAATAAAAATGGGGGTGGAGGGCGTGGTGGTGGAGAAGGCAATGTAGTACACCTCCGGCCTTCAGGTTTTCTACATTTTCTAAATCGATATCACAGTAATATCATGAAGCTGCGCGTTATTTCTCATAGTTTCTCTATGGGACGGCCACAGCTCCGCGCACCTTCCTTCGTGCGCCCTCCTGTCCCACCTCCTCACCCCGCAGTTCCCGAGCAGTGCCCCTCCGGCACCGCGGGGCCCCCGGGGCGGGAGGCGGCGACGCTGCCGCTCCCCGCCAGAGGGAGCGCGGGGCACCGCGGGCAGAGCGCGGTGCGGGGCACAGAACCCCCGCGGATCCACGGGGCAACCAGCACTGCGTGGTATTTACTGAGGAAAGACCTGGGCATCTTTAGAGGTGTGCGCTACGTTCAGGCTGCGCCGGGAAATCCATGGGATTCATCTGGGAGGGATGAGCACGGGTTAACATAGGAAAAGAGAAGAACGATATTGATTTCACTTCATTGTGAAACTTAGTAAAGGCAAAAATAGGTAGGGAACGCTGTGTACAAGCCTATGGACACGGGAAAGCCTGCTAGATTGTTTCACAGCATATAAACTGAGCACATAAATAGTGTGTAAATTAGAAAATCCACTATACCATGTTTTACAAGTTGGCAGTCAGCAGTGAAATCAGCAGTACAGGTGTGGACACATAATGCAGTGAGCTGTCCCACCGATAGATATGAAAGCAGTGAAGCTATTTTCATTCACATAGCCACTCGTGTGCAAAATGAAGTATCAGCGTTATAGAAACACATTTTAGAGAAGCAAAAATCAAGTATGCAGCATCACAGCACTGTTTAGTTTGAAAGAGAAGCACTAAACCTACAAAGATTTGTGCACAAACAGCATGCATAGAAGGAATCAAAACTAATCCATATATATGTAGCATTAAGCACATACATACATATATTCTCATACTGGGATCTCAAAGTTGAATTCTCAGACCTCTGATCTGATGATTCTTTGGGGCCAATGTTCACAAGATTACATCTATCTCTCATTGCACATTTCTTGTCAGGGGCAGTGGTTCAATGCATGTGACTATGTTTCCCCTAGTGGCTTGCTCTAACCACTGCATGACTTAATTTGTTTTATTTTACTTTTAACCCTTGTTTGTGGAGGTGAAGGTCTTGGATTCATTCTCAGCAGGGGAATATGCCTGTTGTACATGGATGTATACACAAACACACACACACATTAGAATAGCATTAATGTCACAGAAGCATAAAATTATTTGAGTTGAAAGACCTTAAAGACCACCTGGTCCAACTCCCCTGCAATGAACAGGGACACCTACAGCTGCATCAGGTTGCTCAGAACCTCGTCCAGCCTGACCTTGGATGTCTCCTGGCATAGAGCATCCACCACCTCTCTAGGCAACCTGTTCCAGTGTTTCATCACTTTTATCATAAAACCTTTTTCCTTATATCCAGTCTATACACAATTTCAGAGACTTCATGTGAAGGGTCAGGCAGAGGAAGGTCTATGGTGTGCGATCTATCTGAAATGGTTGAAACTTTTCTGCAATGCTCTGAAATTGCCTCTTAAGATTTGGGTTGATTTAATTTTCTGACCCCGGACCTGACAACAGGTTGTAATGTCCCTCCTTTTTGTAAAGTAAAAGGGAGCTCATTCACAGGGAATTGATTCCTGCAAGGGAATGAATGCGCAGTAAATCTGCTGACCTCCGTAACTCTTTGTGCATTATCTCATGAGCTAATGCACTGATAGAAGGATATTGATTCTGCACATCCTGAAAGGACTAAGTTTGGCTGCACACCACTTCTAATGCTCCGCATTTCCTTAGAAACTTAAACCTTTAATTGATTGCTTTTCCTGTTTGCAACTCTAAAAAAAGGTAATGTACTTCAAAGAGTTATGTGATTTTTTAAAAAATTATTATTATTATTATTATTTTTTTAAGTAGTTTGTGGTGAGCTGTGAAGTTTTTTGCCTGCAGATACTTCATTGAGAGTTTCAGGGCAGACCAGGACACTAAGATGTGTCACAGAGAGAAACAGAGAAGTCAAACTCACCTTACTATGAATAGCTGGACTTTTTTTTTTTTTTTTTTTTTTTTTTTTTTTAAGTTAAAAAAAAAATGTTTTTGTGATTTAAAACCACTGTTTTTGCTCTTGTGATTTTCAGTGTAACTTATTCTAGAGAAATCCCAGAAAGCCTTCAGAGGGAAAAATTAGTGAAGGCACCACATCCACCATGCTCCTGGGAACCTGTGCTAGTGGAACAGGGTGCAGCACACGTGAAAACCAGAATAAATGCCACTCTGGTTTGGAATACGCCTGCTCTGCATCTACTGAAAGTTGGCCTCCTGCTGTCAGTGAAGCCAGATCTTCTGGGATTAAGTCATTCAGATCTGGCTAATGATTACCACCTCCCTTAAGTATCCTTAGAGGAGACATAGGCCTATGTGACTTCTCCCCATCTCATGGCTGCTCCAGTATAAGGAGGGACAGTTGCTTTTCTTGCTGAATACCAACTACACTGATGTAAACATAAACGATAAACAAATCCCTTTCTTGATTCTTCTGAAATTGTACTAAAGAATATGTGCATTTAGTATTTATAATATAATGTAGAGCTTTTGCATGTAAATTGTTCTAATAAAGCTCGTGTGTTCTTTGATGTGCTGTTCAATGTTATTGGGTTATATTTGTAGCCTTGATAAAATCAGCACTGGTTTTTTGGAATTCAACTTTATAAACCTTTCCAATTTATACAACTAATTTATAATTAGTTCTCTCTTTTCATGGGCCTCGAGACCCAGTTTTCAAAAGTGGGACAATTTGGTGTGGACAGGACTAAGTGCAGTTTATTTGCTAAACAGGATTTATGGAAAGCTTTTTATGATGTATTTGTTTGCCCTGAGATTTTCCTTCTAAAATTTTCAATTGCTTTGGCTGAAATCATGAGGATGGCAACACAGGCAAGCCACGTCTGTCAGCATTTTAAATGCTACACTTTCTAGCCTTATTTCATTTAGAGGCTAGATAATGCTGGGCTTGATGATACTAGAATTTTATGCAAAAACTAAC